AGGCCCAGTTCCACAAATTACTTTAAACGGAGTTTAAGTCATTAAACCTAGTTTTACAGAAATGTTACGTTCTACAAGTGCTATAAACCACGATTAACCTCGATTTTCTGTGGTTAAAGTTAAACGCCAAACTTTGGGCGTTTAATGAAGATAAACGAAGTTTAATACTATAGCGCCACTGATTCTAATTTCCAACATCAAAATTTGTTATTATCCAGCTTTTTAGGGTTATGTTAGTTCAATATCGCAATCTGAAGTGAGAAATATTGAGATGACAGCCTTAGAATATGTATTGTCTTCATCTGAAGATGAAGAGTTTGAAAATTTTTTTTATCGACGTCCAAAAATTATAAAATTAAGACCATCGTATTTAGAAGAGTTTGACGATGTAGATTTTCACGCAAGATTTCGTTTGTCAAAGGAATCTGTTACCGCAGTGTTAACAGAAATTGAGCAGGACATTTCTCATAAAACAAAACAGTAAGTATATGTATATATAAAGTTGATTAAAAATATTGAATTTTTATTTTAACAAATTACTTTCTATAACAAAATAGTAACAACATATAAAGTCAATCATTATAAAACAGATTCAATTAAATCAATGATCAAAAATGACCTGCACAACTATATTAATAAGATGCAAGTGTATAATATTTAATACCTTTTAGTTCTGACTACTACCTTGTAAAGAAAAATAACATCCCAGACAGCACACATATCTAAAAGACATCATAAAGACGTCTTTAAGACGTCTTTTAGACTTAAAGACGTCTTAAAGCTGTCTTTTAGACATGGTGTGCTGTCTGGAATACATGTAGCTGCGTTCGTTTTTTCCTACAAAGAAGCTAAATCTATAGTTTACGTCACAAAGACTGTATATTAATCTAATATCTAAGCTGTGCATGATGTAAACTATATATAGATTTATTTTCCTAATGGGAGAAAACAAACATAGACGTAATATTGTATTTAAATTATTGAGTGGAATTTATAACGTTGATGTAATGTTACTGTTAGAGTATATTAAATACAAAGTAAACAAGATTAAATCAAATAAAATGATTACAAACAATAAAATTTTTTTTCCAGAAACAACGCTATATCTCCAATAAACCAGCTTCTTTTAACTTTAAGATTTTATGCAACTGGAAGTCATTTATTATCAGCAGCAGATTTTTCTGGAGTGAGCAAAACAAGTTCTCACCGAATTATTCATCGGGTGACTGCTGCTATTGCTCGTCTTCGACCACGTTATATAAAGTTTCCTGTCCTTGCTGACGAAATAAAAAGGGAACAAATAAAGTTTTTTAATATTGCACGATTTCCTAAAGTAATAGGTTGCATGGATTGCACTCACATAAAAGTACAGTCATTTGGTAAATAATTTTTAACATTTTAAACATATTTTTTTACGTATAATTATATGTTTCACGTAGTGTTTACTTTGTTGTTTCATACAGACGGTTTTACGTTTCTCAAAATATATTTTTTATTATTTTTGGTTTGTAATGAATACATTAAGTATATTGTATTTTATATTGTATTTTGATCCTTGATGCATAACCGTTTCCTTTCCAACTATCAAATGTTTTATAATTGCATTATGTATGTGTGTGTGCTTGCATGCGTGCGTGCATGTGTGCACACGTTGTGTGTGTGTGTGTGTGTATGTGACTCTATAAAGACTATAAAGATAATGATTATTTGTTTTAGGTGGAAACACCGCTGAATATTTCAGAAATAGGAAAGGATACTTTTCTATTAACGTTCAAGCAATTTGCAATGCAAATTTAGAGATAAGCGATATTGTGGCTCGTTGGCAAGGCTCAGTACACGACGCTACAATATTTAATAATTCCAGGATACGCGCCTTATTCGAAGCTAAAACATTCCAAGATTCTTTCCTGTTAGGTGATGGTGGTTACCCTTTGCGCTCATATTTAATGACTCCTATACAAAATCCACGAACTCGGGCAGAGCAACTGTATAATGAATCACATATACGTACACGCAATTGTATCGAGCGAGTATTTGGAATCTGGAAAAGAAGATTTCCTATCCTGGCACTTGGGTCTAGATTTCAAACAGTGGAAAAAGTGTTACCTGTTATTGTTGCAACTGCTGTGTTGCATAATATTGCTCGACGTAGTGGAGATCCAATACCAATAGATGATCCTGCATTACATTTGCCTGCTCCATGGGAAGATATTTTAGAAAATGGAAATATTCCTTGCAGAAACGATGGACTGCGTAATAATAATAGTATGCAACATGTATTAATCAATGATTATTTTCAAAGGTAAGGAAAGATTTATGTAGCAAATTACATACAATACATTCTATCGAATTTAACTACAAAATATTAAGTTGTATAAAAATACATTGTTGTATAAAAATACAACTTAATATTTTTAGTTAAATTCGATAGAATGTATTGTTAACAAATTCTCGATATTTTTATAATGTACAAGAAAAATTTGTCATTTTTTATTGTTTCTAATTGATATAATTTTGCTATCAGTTAACTCTTTATACACTAATAAAAACGTATTTAACATATTATATACATAATTACTTTTCAGCTTAATATAAAACAATTAATTTTGATGGTTTACTATAATTTTTTCTACAAGTGAACAAGGTTATTTCAATAATTACTTTAAACAAGAAGATCATGATTTATTGAACGTCTACTGATATGTGTAAGAAATACTGCATTTGGGATTATCTGATAATGACATAAAAGATTATTGAAAAATATCATTTTAGGAACTAGTATTATGCGAATGTCATGAAAAAATGTACAAACATTGTATTGTCATGTAACTTATATAATTAACATCTCAATAAATGTATTGTTACATATTTTAACATATTTTGTCCACTAATTAACATATTTTGTCCTTATTGTTTTTTCAGTATTTTAAGATATCAATTTAAAATTTCTTTCATATAGAGTAACTTATGCTAAAGAACTTAATACACTTACTATAAAGTAAATCACTAGCACATCTCACTATAAAGCAAATCATTATTTAGTAAATTTAGTATAAAATAAAAGAACCCAAGACAATTTCAATGTGTTAAGTAATACATTTTAAACAAAACGTTTAATGTATGCGAGATCAAAAAATAAATAGGTACTAATATAAATTAATGTTATAAAATAAATGTAGGAACTAATACAATGGATGGAATAAGTTAGATTTTTAATATAGCTAGCTTATTCTCTATATTTCTTTGGTACATTAATATTGTAATTTACTCTTTATATTTAGTATCACTTGTTAGACATAGTATAAACACAAATACTTTAATAGTGTATTTTAACGAATACATAAATCTTTTACTGAAAAACATTCAATATATTTCAAATGAAAAATAATAGAATCAATAGAAGAACGGAATAATTTTTATTTCTTTTCATAAGAATTTAACTGTTTCTCAAGAAGTTTAACGTTAAGGCTTTCTTTTTTTAATTGCATTTCTAGAACTGCAATTTCTAATGATGTCTTTTTATGATGATCTTCTTTCATTACTTCCACTAATTGTAACTTGGATTGCGCAAGGTCATAATACCGTTCATTACGTTTATTAGCATTTATTTGAAGTTGTTTTGATTTTTTACGTTTTAAACTTTGATTTGGTGAACTATTTGTTCTTACTGGATTACAGTTTTCCTTAGAAGATTGTACAAGAATTCTTTCTACATCTTCCAATGACAATGAATCTTCGTCTTTATCGTTCTTTGAGACCTGCAATTCTTTGCTCTTCTTGGAATTCAACTTGGCTGGTGTCCAGTCAGCCCAAGTTGAAGTTGCAGCCTCATTTTCTTCTTCAATCATCTGTAACAATACAAATATTTGAAAACAATATTTTTACCAATATTTTATTATAAAATATATAAAATAAATAAATATTTTGAATATATATGTACGTATGTATGTGTACCTCAACTGGATAACAGTCTTCATTGTCTTCTAACTGTGGTTTGCTGCACTGTGGATCATCTATACCTGCAATACACATATTTTATCAGAACTATATATTTATCAATACTAATAAAGAAACCATATTTATATATTTTTGTTTTGTATTTTTATAGCATACCGGGCATATAATCACTATCAAAATTATTTTGTAGACCCTCAACTGATGGCTGAATAATACTTTTTACTTTTTCAGCAATTGGATCATCAATGATATTGATCTTTCCACCGCCTGTATACAAAGTACCGAATTAATATGATGTGTACACAAAGAATATTGATATTTTTAATACATAAATAAATTCAATATGTAAGAAAACATGATATACCTGTTTTAAAAACTTCATTACGTATGTCAGCGTAATATTTTCGAGTTTTCTTCTTCAAGTTGTCCCAACAACTTTTTAAACACGCGACATCCCGATGTCCTGATATAGAATTACTATTAAATTCATTTGTAATATTTTTCCAGCAGGCGTCTTTATCATTCACACTAACATTGTCTGTCTTTTTGTTTTCTATGATGTTCTTTTCACGCTCTACTAATTCTATCAATCTGATTTTTTCTAAATTCGAGAAATTTGGTAGTCTTTTTTTTTTACTTGACTGATCTTTCATCATGATGAATTTTGTATTACACGTACGATTTTAAGATTTATAAATTTAAGGTTTCTAAATTCTTGTAA